TCGTATAGGTATGGATAGGTTCTTCGCCAGGAGAATTTTGTGTGTTCGGCCTCTGGGGGCTGTTTTCGGATCTGGAGTGAATCATTGCACCAGCTGGACCTCGGGAGAGCTTTGGGGATCGATTTTGAACGGATTTCGCGTCAGCATCCTGCTCCTGGCCGATTTTCCGGGGCCCCAACCAGTTCAGAAGCCCTCGGCGGCTTCCAAAACGGAGAATGCTCCCTTATGGTCTTGGGTCCTCGATTTCAAGAGACGGCGCCACGTGCCCCTCCCACCTCCTCCTCCTCCTCTTCCTTCCTTCTCCTCCTCCTCTTCCTTCCTTCTCGTCCTCCTCCCCCTCCTCCTCCAGCTCCCTCCTCCTTCGTCCCATCCTTCCTTCTCCAGCTCCCCTCTCCTCCTCCTCCTCCTCCTCCTCCTCCTCCTCCTTCTCCTCCTCCTCCTCCTCCTCCTCCTCCTCCAGCTCCCACCTCCTCCTTCTCCTCCTCCTCCTCCTCCAGCTCCCTCCTCCTTCGTCCCATCCCTACCTCTGCCATCCGCCATCCGCATGGCAACCGTTTCGGCACACCCCTCACACGCTTCGTGGCCCCGTAGGGAGCTCCACCGAAGGTTCCCGTGGCACCGTTCGCATGCGTCCCCACCACCCATGTCGGCGCTCCCCTCACACGTCTCGTGGTTCCACGAGGGAGTTCCACCGAAGGTCCCCGTGGCACCGTTCGCATGCGTCCCCGCCACCCGTGTCGGCACACCCCTCACACGCTTCGTGGCCCCATAAGAATCTCCACCTCAGGCCCCAGTGGGAGGGTTCGCATGGCATCGCCGCCACCCATGTCGGCACACCCCTCACGCTTCGTGGCACCATAGGGAGCTTCACCGAAGGTTCCAGTGACACCGTTGTTCGCATGCGTCCTCCGCCTCAATTTCGGCACACCCCTCACAGGTTTCGTGGCCTAGCTGCACCGAAGGTGCCAGTGGCACCGTTCGCATGCAACCCCACTATCGATTTCGGCTCACTCCTCTCGCGCTTCGAGGCCCCGCAAGGAGCTCCACCGAAGGTCCCAGTGGCACAGTTGGCATGCGTCCCCGCTACCCATTGCGGCACACCCCTCACACGTTTCGTGTCCTCATAGGGAGCTGCACCGAAGGTCCCCGTGGCACGCGTCCCCGCCACCAGAGTCAGCTGTTCCTCACACGTTTTTGTGGCCCCATGGGGAGCTTCACCGAAGGTCTCAGTGACAACGTTCGCATATATATATATATATATATATATATATATATATATATGTGAAATTGTACATGCCGAAGCCCCGGATGTCGGAGTCAACGACATAGAAGTGGCCAAAGGCCGGCCACCCCTCCTGCAGTGAATCACTGGCCGGCTCTTCTTGGAAGAGCGTGCCACATCCTGCCGTGAAACACTGGCCAGCTTTTCTTGGAAGAGCGCGCCACCTGGGGCGGCCGGGCCCCCCCTTCCGCCTCCGCCACCTCCTCCTCGCCTTCGCCCTCCTCGCCCTCCTCAACCTCCGCCTTGCTTGTCGCCCTCCTCCTCCGCCAGCCTCCTCCCGGGTCTCGTCCGCTTCGCCCTCCTACGTCCCCTCCGTGCAAATCGCCCTCCTCCTCCTCCTCCTCCTCCTCCTCCTCCTCTACCTCCTCTGTCTCCTCCTAGGACCTTTGTCCCCTTGGCAGTGGCCCTCCGGCCGGCCTCTTTTGCCTCCTCTTCCGGCCCGTCGGCCAGCCTTCCTCCGCCCTCCATCCTCAGCTTCTTCGGGCCGGTCTCTTTTCTGGCGCCCTCCTCCCTCGTCCTGCCTCGCGCCGGTCCGCCGGCCCTGTTTCCACCGCCCTCGCAGCGCCTCCGCCTCGCCCTCCGGGGGGGCCCGCTTTGGGCGGCCCGCGGCCGCCTCCTGCTTCCTCCTCCTCTTTCCTCGGTCCTCAGGGTTCCTCGGCGGCTCGTCTGGGCGCTCTCTCCTCCTGCAGCCCGTCTCCTCGTCCTCCGGCGCCGCCTCCTCTGCTCCTCTCTGCACCTCCTCCCCTCTCTCCTCCTGCGCCTCCTCCTTTCCAGTCTCCCTCCTCAGCCTCTCCTGCGCCGCGCGCCTAGCCTCGTTCTGCGGGTACCTGTCGTCCCAGACCTTCTGCACCACCTCCTCCATGTAGCGCAGGATCCTGGCGTCCTCCTGGCGGTCCTGACCCCCGGGCCAGCCCCACCTCTGCTGGAGCACCTCCGGGGGCCGCGCTGGCGCCTCCTCCGGCCTCCTCCTGCAGGCCCACATGATGTGGTCCTGGTCCGGCACCGCCTCCTCGCACCCTGGCCAGATGCACCTGCAGCGGCCCGGTGCTCTTGCATGCGCCGCCGCCATGGGCGAGAGAAACGCCCCGCACATCAAATGCAGGCGCCGCGTGGACGCCGTCGCCGCCTCCCTGGCCAGCCTCACCCTTGCCTCATCGTACCTTGTGGCTGCCATCATCACGGCGTCCCTGCGCCGCATCTTCCTGAACTGTTCCCAGTTCCACCACCTCCAGCCCTCTCGAACCTCGTGCATGAGTGCGGCACGTACGTCTTCACCTCGGAGCTCCTCCTCAATGGTGGCGCGCCGCCCGAGGTCGACGTAGCCTCCGAACCCTGGATGGGACCACCGCCAGGGCGCTTCCTCCTCCCACCCTAAGCGACGCAACCACCCCCGGGCCGCGCCACACAGGGTCCCGCGCTGCCTGGTCCACTGGCGATACTGAGGGGCGTTGTGCCGCCTCAGCAACCGCCTCCTCAGCATGGACATCTGGCGGGCCCCAATGATCACGTCTGTCGCCAGCGTGCCCCCCTCCAGGATGGCTGGGATCGGCACCGCCCCCATCCTGCAGCCTCCTGCTGTTCGTCGAACAGCTGCCGAGATCTTCATGGCTACCCCAAGGGGCATTGTCCTCGCCATCCACCCGTAGGTGCACTTTGCCAAACCAAAAGCCCTGCAATACGTCTGCCTCAACCTTCTGCCCACCGGCAGGCCTTGCAGTCTGCGCAGCTCCTGCATCGCCGAGTCGACGCGCTTCGCCTCCTTCTCCTGGAGCGGACGCGGCCTTGCTGACAACGTTCGCATGCGGCCCCGCCACTCGTGTGGGCACACCCTTCACACGTTTCGTGGCCCCATAGGGAGCTTCACCGAAGGTGCCAGTGGCACCGTTGTTCGCATGCGTCCTCCGCACCAACGCGTCCCACCCAAGGTTCCAGCGGCGTATCTTGGTCGTCTTCGAAGACTCCTGAGGGTGTTGGAACCCTGCTTAGGCGTCTTGGAGGCTACAGAGTGTAGAAATGGAGGCTCCGGACCAGCCCCCACCCCCCGTCCGATTTCAGACCCCAGGGGATGGGGAAAGGGGATTGGGGACAGCCAATCATGCCACACGCCTTTGCACCCCTGGCAAGCAGGTGTCGGCGGACTTCAAGTTCCTCTGCAATCCCTTCATTCCCCTCCTCTCCCGTCTTGCTAATTTCGACCCCGCTGTCGTTGCGATTCTCCGTTCTCGCTCTGCTATCTGGAGCCTTTGCAATTCGAGTATGCGTGTCCTGTACATTTTCCAGTTTGAAATCCTGGGTTGGATGCTCAGGACCCGCAGACTCCCTCATGAGGCCCTTGCTCAGTTTGAGAGCAGAAGGGCTCGTGCCATGAAAAGTTTGATCTGGATCCGCTGGGCTAAGTAAGTTCTGGTGGGAAGTATGTGGTTGCTGGTTCATAGGTGCAGACACCGTGACAGCATCTGCAGTAGGAGTTGCAGAGAGCAGGGGTTCAAGTTGGTCCATTCCCAAAGGAAGGTCCAGATCCCCCCCGCCTCTCAGTCATCCAATACCTCTACTAGGTCTGAAAGGGGTAGGATCAGCCGTTGGGATCAGACCGGATGGGCCGCCCATGTTTATCCCGAGGGATAATGATATCCAAAGTGATTCAACGATTTCGTCCGTAAATTTGGTGGCCGTGAAGGTACAGTATCATAGTCTTTGGCTTTTGGTGTTTCAGTTCTGGGGAGCGTTTCATCATCACTACCATCAGCATCACCTTGATCATCATCACTATTCTCGTCCTCCTCTTTTTTCGCCTCCTCCTCCTCCTTATCATCATCATCATCATCATCATCATCATCATCATCATCATCATCATCATCATCATCATCATCATCATCATCTTAATGTTCATGATCGTCACCGTCATCACCACCATCGCCATCATCAGCATCATCATCACCTTCTATCATCATCGTCAGCATCATCATCATTATCATCCACATCCACATCCTGCTCCTCTTCCTCATCATCATCATCATCATCACCAGCATTATCATCATCACCATCATCAACACACTCATCATCGTCATCATCATCATCATCACCATCGGCATCACCATCATCCGCATCATCATCATCATCATTATCCTTATCCTCATCCCCATCATCCTCGTCATCCCCGTCATCCCCACATCAGCACCACCATCATCATCATCATAATCATCATCGTCACCATCACCATACTCATCATCAACATTATCGTCGTGATCATCATCAGTATCGTCGACAACATCATCATCATCATCATCATCATCATCATCATCATATTCTCTTCCTCATCATCGTCGTCTTCGTCATCACCATCACCATCATCAGCATCACCACCACCCCCATCATGATCATCATCATGATCATCATCATCATCATCATCATCATCATCATCATCATCATCATCATCTTCATCATCTTCATCACCATCACCATCACCATCACCATTACCATCACCATCACCATCACTGTCACCATCAGCATCAGCATCAGCATCAGCATCAGCATCACCACCATCATCATCATCATCATCATCATCATCATCATCATCATCATCATCATCATCATCATCATCATCACCACCCTCATCATCCTTCGCCTCTGCTGCCGCAGCCGGTCTCCCTCCCCCCCGTGAGTGGGAGAGAGGCTGCCGGGCCGCACGGCGCGGGGGCGCTGCAGCTCTCCCCCGCAG